GATCAGCAATGTACAAGCAAGGGCCTCACTGCAGTCCAGTTGATGTAGCTCAGTGGTTAGAGCACCGGTTGGAAATGCGCATTGCTGTATGAGGTTGCGGGTTCAAAACTCAATTGCAGACTTGCCCATGGACACCGGCAGGGCGTTAGAATGACCCACGGCTGGGCTGANCATGGACACCGGCAGGGCGTTAGAATGACCCACGGCTGGGCTGACGCACGGTAAGCTTATACAGACACTGCCTGCGCACCACCCAAGGGTTGTCCATGGTGTTGTACGTCGGGTCTTGATACTGCGTGGGTTGCTTGTGGCTGTTGCTAGTAGTCTTTCTGTTGATTTCCCCAGTCCCGCATATCGCACACACGGGCCGTTTGCGATTGTTGCTCAAATTGTAGAGTCTTTAGGTCACATGCCATAGATCACGGGTTAGAGTCTGGCTTGGGACTTTGGGGGGGGTTCTTGTCCAGCTTGGCCTGTCATCTCTTCAAACAAACACATAGTTCCCTCTACGAAGTACTGGACATATCTGGCCTTCGGGGGCATAAATTTCCGCCCCTACTAATGCATATTCCAGGTCTTCTGACATAAGTATAAAATCTATTATGGATCTAGACTAGAGGGAGTACCTAAATTTATGATACATGTATAAAATTTTTCTTGTGGAAAAACCCTTCGATATGTATCATAAAGATTTTCCACTTCACATAATTGTTGAATGATCATTTCGTCCTCCTCTAATAAGACTGGACACGGAGAGGGAATCTTCCACCTATCCAACCATTTGTCCGGGGCCATTATAATAGGGATCCCGTTTGGAATATGATTGCGGATATCCTGGAAGAACTGCTTTCTTTCCTGTATCTCATTGGGTCCGTATACGTTGATAACACATACTACTTCTACTTCCAACATTACTAGTGCAGAGATTCATCTTCCGTTTTCCTAGTCTGCTTCCCAATGGATGATGTTTGCCCTATAATCTGGAGGGATCCATACGGTTACCCTTACTGATCGATTGCGTGTTGCATAAGCTTGATATTTTTGATGAGGCCATATTAAATTATGTGCCATATTGTGGGTTCAACTTGGGGAGTCCATTAGATGAGTCTCCTGAATACAGATCACATCTGGTCAAGATCTCCCTCCTACTCATTTTAGCTGTTCCATTATTGCTCTACGTTTAAGCGCATCAACAGTAGCCAAACCATTAACATTAAGTGACCTTAGATCTAAATCTGTTGTCTGGGTGGCTCGTTTCCATGATAAATTCTTTCCGTGGAAAGCCTGTAGTGCGTCCATCCTTTATAGACCGAGGGATCATTTACTGAATTTACTGAATTTACAATCTCACCCATCCTCCTCCATCTAGTAACGTCGAGGAGGTGAAGAACCCCTGTCGTAGAACAAAACAAAGGAAAGAAGAGACTTTCGCTACTGACCATACGACATTTGCTTTTATCTTGAGTTGCTGCAATTCGAGCAATGCCGCATGAAAGTAACATTTGAGTCCCGATTCCTTGTTCTCCTCAAATCTCACAAAGGTGTCCCTTTTGGCCATCTTGGCTTATTCTCCGACTAACGTGAAAGTCGCTTGGGGTCCTGGATCGAAATGTTTTGACAAAAAGTCATGCATATTTCTTTTGAAAGTCCTATCATCTATGCTTTGGTATTCCACATGTGTCATCCATCCTTTGAGTGTCACCCCCCCATATTGATCATGTCCTATCAGAGAGGGACCTATTTCCCATTTTCCCCCTTTCTTTCGAACTGGAATCACCAGATTGCCCTTGGGGGACTGTAGGCCGGTTACTTGACCTTTTTCTAGTACGTGTCTCATTTTCTTTCTCTTACCTGGATCATCTTTCCGTATTGGTCCTGACGGTCAATTTTTTTCTTGTTTCGATTCCTCTTTTTGTTGGGCGACAATGAGGTTTGGGGTTATTATCTTTTTTTTCTCCTTTACCTCCTCTTCTTCTTCAGTTCCTTCTTCCTCTTGAATTTTTGGGGAAGAGGCGCTCTGTTCTTCCTCCCTTACCTCTTCTACCGTTATGCCTCTTTCTCCTTCTTTTGTTTCCTTCACCCCCTGTACCACTAATTGTCCTGATTCCTCAACTCTTGCTTCCCCTCCTATTGGGTCAGTTTCCTTCTCAGGCTCTTCTTTTTCCTCCACGGTAGGAGGTTGGAACATCTCTGCCACTATACCCAGAATTTTCTGACCGACTCTTGTTCAACATGCTCCTTCTGGTAGGCCTTGTCCCAATGCCTCGCTGAGGCTGGGACTACTACGTAGTAAGTTGAATAACTGGACATATGAATTGTCTCAAAATTCGATTGTTCTTTCTCCATAGCATGTTTTCAAGGATTTGATTAGCCATTCCGTTCTGAAAATATTTGATCAGGCTGAACAGCCCCCTCTTCCATTTCAAAATCCTCTGTGGGCGAGGAGTCCACATCCATAGGGGTTGGACCGAAAGCTCCTTAGAACGGGTCAATTTCTGATTCAGTTTCTATCTCTTTTGTCCCTATGTGTTCCTTTCTTGGGGGTTCTTTCTCCTCTCTTTGTTCTTTGTGTATTTCCATCTATTCTATTTCCTTTCCTTCTTTATTCGAGGGCGAGGAGTCCACATCCTCGGCCTCCATCGGTCCTCGTAATTGTCCTCGTAATTGCAAATATCAAAAGGACGAGGCCGGGGACCTCACAATTCTACCCGGAGTTATCCTGGCAGCATCAGCCAGTTTAGCTTACGAGCACAGCTCGATATTTAACCATCTGCACCAGAGATCTCACACTACTACTGGAAACCATGTCCAGTGTCCTGTCCATTGAAGACCACATTCCGAAAATAATCTGCTTGAAGTTCAACAAAACACAACTTTAGGGATAGAAGTCCCCAGTAATAGATGTCTGCAAGGCCAGTATTACTATATCCTACCTTCGTACCATCAACTGGCCTAGGAGCGGCCCGAATAGCTACAGTCCTATACCTGCTACTACCTACCACCATTACTTACTACAACCGGAGAATTTCGTTTTATGTGTGTCATGCTAATCTTCTTCTCTGTATCCTTCCAATTTTAACGGATTCTCTGTATCGTTCCGAATTTAACGGATGTATTGCCATCTTTCTCTGTATCGTTCCGATTTTAACCGTTTTATGCGTGTCATGCTAATCTGTGATTTTTCTGAATTTTGCTACCAGTGTGACTATGCCCCTGAGAGGTTAGTTTCTTCGTTTTTTTTTTTTGATTTTTTTTGTTTTTGTTTCCTTGAGAGGTTGGTTTCGCACGCAGGCAGTGTGCCACTGGCTGAATGATTCACTCATCTAACGGATAGTAAAGAGATCACGAGCTCGAATCCTGCCGGAAACCTCATGTACATGTACAAGGACCACATTTGTGGACAGATGCATGTGTGTCATCACATCCTTGAATGCTAGGAGGCATGGCAAATTGGCAATCTTCTCATCTGTCGCGTTACGATGGGCCTCGCGCCACCAGTCTCGACATGCACAAACGACAAAAAATGATGGCGATGTATCTTTCCGTGTTCTAGAGGAAGATTCACTCTCGGTTTGCAGATTCCCAGGGGGGGGGGCATGTCCCACTTCTCGAGGTCTTTTTTAGGTTTGGAGTGCACATATGGCTCGTTGCCATCCGATCTGAAAATCTCACGGCCCTAGTGTGACCACGTAGGAAAATACCCTAAACATAAACTAACCCCCCGCTACCGTCACGCCCCCGAGAGTAGTGGAGCGAGGCCCAATTTCAACGGACGTCCTGCCTAAGGACATTCAATTCTCCTTTTTTTTTTTTTTTGAGAACAGATACTAACACTTGATGTTAGCGCAAGAAAAAAAAAAAAAAAAAGGCCGAGAAAGGTATTCTCATTCATTTCTCGATTTATGCGAGTCATCCTTGCGCACAGGACCGTGCTAACAGATGTCCCAGCCGAAGGACAACGAAGGGCATTCAATGATGTAAGGTGTAATTAATAGTTAATGACGAAAAAGGAAAAACAAACCAAAAACAGACGCTAAAAAAAAGAAAAAAAAAAAARAAAAAAAAAAAAAGACGCTGCAGGTTTGAACCCCCCCCCCCTCTCTCCGTTCGCTAACGGACTGAGATCGTAGTCACAGCAGGTGTGACTTTCTCAACTGCTCTTTGGCCGTAATTAGAGCCAGATACATCTACGAGGAGTCGTAATTGCAGTGAGATGCTTGCAGGAAAATCCTTGTCTGTGTCTGCTGACGTCAGTGCCTGCGATTTGTGAGATCAATGGCGGAGCATCTCGCACCTCCAGGTCGCACAATGCAGGCACACACTGCAGGCTGCTGCATCCTTTGAGCGACGTCGGCAACATTGTGCGACAGTCGCGCGACAGTCGCATCCTTCCCCCCCCCCGTCGTGCCCAGACGAGCAGTGGAGAGCGCCGCACATTCGAGGCGGCCGCTGGCTGATGCCGAGTTTCAGGTCGCACACTGCAGGATCATGCTGCTGCATCTTGAAGCCGAACCTCAAGTCAGGCCGCACATTTTTGAGGCGGCTGCTCACTGTGCTGTCGAAGGTCGAACTGCACGTTTTGCCCGCTGCAGGCTGCTGCAGCTGCTCACTGTGTTGACGACCTGCAGGTTTCGCGCGCTGCAGGCTGATGCAACTAGAGGTCAGTCAAGATCACCAGGCTGCTGCTACGCGGTTTTGTCGAGCATCATCAGGTCGCACACTGCCAGGCAGCCGCTCAAACTGCAAGGCAGCCGCAAAACTTTACTCTGTGTGTGTGTGTGTGTGAGAGAGAGAGAGAGAGAGAGAGAGAGAGAGAGAGAGAGAGAGAGAGAGAGAGAGAGAGAGAGAGAGAGAACGTTCACCGTTACTGTATGAGAAGGGAGGGGGCGCATTGTCAATACACTGTGGGAGAAAAGACAGCCCTCCTCTCTTTTCCGGGCTAGTCGTGAGCTCTCCCGCCTGCGTCCTGTCTCCGGACAAGACCGTTATGAAGCGTTAGCACGTGGGAGGGGGAAAACAGGGCAGGAGCACGTGGAGGGCAGGGGGGGAAAGGGGGGATGGAGGAGAAGAAAAGGAGGAACAATGGCGGCTGCTCCGGCACAGACAGGTAGATATTAGAGAGAGAGAGAGAGAGAGAGAGAGAGAGAGAGAGAGAGGCAAACGGGTGGCGAGCGGTGTCAACAGCGAAACCTGGTGAGTGTATGTGTGTGTACGACGAACTTCGTTACGATCCTACCGAAACCGGATCTCGGTGAATGTTATCTCTGTGTGTGTGTGTGTGTGTGTGTGTGTGTGTGTGTGTGTGTGTGTGTGTGTGTGTGTGTGTGTGTGTGTGTGAGAGAGAGAGAGAGAGAGANGAGAGAGAGAGAGAGAGAGAGAGAGAGAGAGAGAGAGAGAGAGAGAGAGAGAGAGAGAGAGAGAGAGAGAGAGTCAATCCGTGATTTTGATTGATCGTTTCACGTGGGCGACGCGCGGCACAGGCTTTGAGCGAATGGAAGATGCGCAGCCGTGACTGCAATCAATGAACCGTTGGGATTGGTACACTTCTTCTGTTTTTTTTTTTTTTTTTGATTTTAATGTACGCTGTGTTTTGAGTGGTTTCCTGTTCGTGTATTCCCCTCCCCCCCCCCCGAAAGAGAAGCATCAGCATGTGTCTTTTTAATTTGTATGTGCTGATCTTCTCTATGCATATTCGAGACCAAACCATTAAGTGGTTGATTGATTGATTGGTTGATTGATAGCGTGGTGATTAATTGACTAGTTGATTGATTGATTGATTGATTGATTGAGTGGTTGATTGATCATTTGAATCAGATTGATTCGTTGATTGATTGCATACTCTCGATTTCCCTCAGAGTCTTAATCGGTACACCTCTTGTCCACTCGCGCATCTCTTTTGTCGGCATTGTTTGCTTCGGGCAAAGCGCAGACACACACACTTACACACACACACAGAGAGAGAGAGAGAGAGAGAGAGAGAGAGAGAGAGAGAGAGAGAGAGAGAGAGAGAGAGTAGTCAAGCTATCGTACTTACCCCGGGGAAAGATCATAGCGTTTGAAGAGAGGCAGAGGTTTTTCGTCATGCCATGAGATTGTTTTTCGTTTTTGTTTTTTTTCCTGGATATAATCCAATGGATAATCCAAAATTTTCTACTCTCGCTTTACTCTCGGGTTACTGTCCGCTTACTCTCGGTTTACTGTCAGCTTACTCTCGGTTAATAATCGGCTTACTCTCGGCTTACTCTCGGTTTACTCTCGCGCTACTGTAGGCTAACTCTCGGTTTACTGTCGGCTAACTCTCGGTTTACTGTCGGCTAACTCTCGGTTTACTGTCGGCTTACTCTCGGTTTACTGTCGGCTTACTCTCGGTTTACTGTCGGCTTACTCTCGGTTAATAATCGGCTTACTCTCGGTTTACTGTCCGCTTACTCTCAGTACTCTAGGTTTACTGTCGGTTAACTCTCGGTTTACTGTCGGCTTACTCTAGGCTTACTCTCGGCTTACTCTCGGTTTACGCTCGGTTTACTGTACGTTAACTCTCGGTTTACTGTCGGCTAGCTCTCGGTTTACTGTCGGCTTACTCTCGGTTAATAGTCGGCTTGCTGTTGGCTTACTGTCCGTTGTCCTCCGTGAACTGGAATGAAAGCACTGGGCCTCGCTGCAGTACTCTCCAAATGACCAAATCGAGAATGAATCTTCGTCTAGAACATGGAAAGATACACTGCCGCATTGGGCCTCGCTGCAGTACTCTCCAAATGTCCAAATTGAGAATGAATCTTCCTCTAGAACATGGAAAGATACACCGCCATTTTTTTTGTCTTTTGTGCATGTGGAGAATAGTGCAGCGAGGCCCTTTGAATTGAACGCTTCTCTCTTCCTTTCTCTCGTTCTCTCTCGCCGTGCCCTATTCGGATCCTTCTCTCTCTCTCTCTCTGTGATTCGGAAAAAAACATTTCTCCTGCGTTCATTGGCGTTTTTTTTTGTTTCTTTTTTTTTGAGTCTTCTGTCATTTTCGGTTCCAGTCGTGCTTCTACAAATGGGACCTCTCTGCCAATCTTTCCTGTTTCGGCCTTGTTCTCTTTCACTCTCTCTCTCTCTCTCTCTCTCTCTCTCTTCGCTCCTCTCTATGGCCGCCAATTCACCACCCGGCCCGTCGCCTCCCATCTCGGGCTCCTCGC